ACTGTTTTGGAAATTTTAAAGCATCATTAACTTTTTGTCAAGATGTCCAAGTGTGCCTTTGGAGTTTCTACTATTGAATAGGGAAGGAGTTTCAGCTGATCCTTCCAAATTAAACGCAGTGGTTGACTGGCCTGTACCTACTTCTGTTAAAATTTTGAGAGTATTTTTGGTTTTGGGTCTCACAGGTTATTATCGGAAATTTATTCCTCACTATGATAGGGAAAGTTTCCCTTTGACTCAGTTAACTAAGAAGGATGGATTTTTGTGGACTCCAGAGGCTACTGCTGCCTTTCACAAACTCAAGGAACTCATGTTATCTCCTAGGGTTCTCGCCTTGCCAGATTTTACAAAACCTTTTATCATTGAGAGTGATGCTTCTGGATCTGGTATAGGAGTTGTGTTACAACAGGAAGGCAGACCTATTGCTTTTACCAGCAAGACTCTTGGTCCTAGAAACCAATCCCTTTCCACTTACGAGAGGGAAATGATGGCAATTGTTCATGCCATCAAGAAGTGGCATCATTACTTACAAGGAAGACACTTTATCATTAAGATAGATCACCATAATCTTAAATATTTTCTCAATCATAAGGCTCACACTTCTTTTCAGCAAAAATGGGTCACCAAGCTTTTGGGCTATGATTATGAGATACACTATAGGCAAGGGAGTGATAATAAAGCAGCTGATGCTTTGTCTAGATTTCCTATCAGTCATAGCTCTTCTACTGATCAAGTTCAAGTCTTTGCCATGGACAGCTTGCCCATTGGAACTGATGTTTCTGGGCAGTATATTGAGAATTTGGCAATTACATATCCTTATCACAGTTGGATGGATGATTTACGACGGTACAATGAAGGTGATCCTTGGATTCTTAGTAAAAAACAAGAAGTTCTAGCTGTTGCTGGTCCTACACAATCACCTCATGCACCATCTCTTTCTACAACAAATCATTTACTCAAGTTTCACATTGACAATGGTCTCCTTAAATATAACTCCAAAATAGTCCTTAGTCCTGATTCGATTTGGAAGACCAAAGTTTTTGCTGCTCATCACTCAGTTCCAATAGCTGGTCATGCTGGGTTCTTGAAGACTTATCAAAGACTTTCTCGGAGTTTTTATTGGCCATGTATGAAACATGATGTGCAGAAAATGGTAGCTGAATGTCACATCTATCAACAACATAAGTATGAAACTGTGACTCCTACTGGATTATTGCAACCCTTGCCTATACCAGATAAGGTGTGGACTGATATCTCAATGGATTTTATTGTTGGATTACCCCCTTGCCAAGGAAAATCTGTCATTTTTGTAGTAGTTGATCGTCTGGGCAAGTATGCCTATTTCATTGCTTTATCCCATCCTTATTCAGCTGCTACCATTGCTTAGCTCTTTGTGGACCATGTGTTTAAGTTACATGGTATGCCTAGCTCCATTGTTTGCGACAGGGATCCAGTATTTGTTAGTGATTTCTGGAAAGAATTCTTCAAATTGCATGATGTAGCTTTACGGATGAGCTCTGGTTATCATCC